CCTATATATCCTGGCTCCTCCTCTACCTCTTCAGAGCAGTCCCTCAGAGCCATCTGAGAGGCTGTCATCCCGCGAATAAAACATAATTCTCAACTTTTAGGCTGTGCATTTATTTCAGTCGACATGAGGCAGAAGGCATGCTGCCCTGGGCCAGTGTTTCCCAAGTGTTCAAGTGATGGGGATTTTTTGGTATTATTATTATTATTATTATTATTATTATTATTATTATTATTATTATTATCTGCTGGATCTGTATGAACTAACAGTTCAAGGAATCTATAGCTGATCCAGTCAAGTCAAGAGACTCATCTGATTTTTTTCCCTCTTCTAAAAGTAATGTCAAAAGAGTAGAAATAAACAACATGCTCACCTTGAAAGACTGTGGGCAGATTTCCTTAATGCTGCTATTGCCCTGAATGTGCCAGAAGTATTTCAGGCAAATTTCTTTCAGATCTGGTTGACACGCCAACCCTTCTGCCTGGCCAGAGGCCTCTCACTCATGTGCAAATTCTTTCCACTCATCTATTCTGACAACTGCTGGCTTTAACCTCTCTTCCATGGTTTTACATGCTACTGGCTCTTAATGTGTCTAAATAAACCTGTTCTTTTCGAGGAGCCAATTGCATGAATTGTATTTAGAGACACTGATGGGTGACTGCCTCACTGTCACATCCACATGCTGGCCCTGCTTGAATGTCATTCACCACATTTTCCTGTGATGAACTCTTAGCTGTTTCCAAAATTAAATTCCCCAAGCAAGAATTAAAAGGTAATGCCATGACTATATGACCTCTAAAGATACTCCAAGGTGAACAGAAAACAGATAACCTAGGTGACTTGGAGGTGAGTCAAAATGACAGTGTGATTCTATGTTGTTGCCTGCATTACTGATGATAATCAATATGTAACACATGATATATCATCAGTATGTCACTGGTGATAATCAATAACCCAGGGATGGATACCACACCCGGAGTGGGGCACTGAATTCTTACAGCTGGCCATAAAAGGAGAGATACAAATGCACACAAGGCGAAGACAAGTAGAGGAGAGAAGGGACCAGAAATCGCGTCCCAGAAGCAAGGCAATGTGAAGAAATGTGAGGTTCCTCTTCCAGTGTCTGGAGCATCACTGCCAGGTAGAAGAGAGTGTAGATGTGTTCTATGTGAGCACAAGGGGTCCAACTAGGACCAGCAGGCAGATGCCATCTGAAGACAGACTATGTTTTAAACATTTCTAAGTCTCAGAAGTGCCCTGGGGTTGAGTGGACTTCCTTGGGTGTGGTAGTGAGTTCACCATCGCTGAAGGCATTCAAGCCTAGTGTGGAAGATCACTTAGCAGTGACGTTGCGCAGATTAAAGGATGAGGCAGAGAATGTGGGGTCTCTAAAGAACCTTTCACCTGCCGAACTGAAGCAAGACAGGATCAATGACACCAATAGATGGTTTTAAAAAAAGAAACCTTCAAAGACTTATTTTGACAAATCACATGATATACCCCCATCCTCAATCCTAAGAAAAAGTGGGTACATCAGAGTGTGAAAAGACCATCTTCATCTTCTCTTCCGTTGAGGACATTTTTACCTTCTCCAACATTTTCTAGCCTGTGAAGAGAGAAGAGAGGCTGATTAAGAGAGGCTGAAACACCAAAACCAGAAATAAATGGGTGCTGCTCAACTACAAAGCAACTAACCAACTGACCAAAGGCTGTTAGAGTTAAAAGGGCTCAGAGTTCATCCAGTCCAAGCCTCTCATTTCACAGATGGGAAAACTGAGGCCGTAGATGTGCCAATCTATTGTAATAAGGGAATGTAAAGTTTCTATATTGGCAAAACATAAAACCATGATCTAAACGGGTTTATTTACCAAGAGGATCTTCAAGGATGACTTTGAAAAGTTACCTTGCTAACCCTCTTGTGAATATTTATTTGTTAATAGATATTGCGGTACTGATGCAATTATTAAGTGAAAGCAAAGTCATCACAGTTACACCAAATCTTTTCATTTCTTTTGCAAAAAGCTATAGAACAGGACAGGTGTCTGAAATCCCTTTCCAGAGACTCTTCAAATTATTAAACACAACAACAACAACAAAAAACAAAACAAGAAAGAAATATCCAAATGTTACAGTCACAAATTACCCAGACATATAATCAGGAAACATGAAAATGATATGGCTTCTACAATTTATTAGAATTTATTTCTCTTTCAATAAAGCTAAGACAATATTATTAAAAACAAACAAAGAACTGCTCCCATGGTCTAATTTGGCAGAGGGATTAAACCCAGGAATGACATTGTATGTGTTTTTTCATTTTCTACACTGCCAACTCTCCTCTCAATGAACTCCAATTTAACAATGTCCTTTTAAAGTGAGTCACCCAGAGTTGAACAAATAATGTGCAGAGTGACATATCACCTTCCTTCGTTTGCATGCCATACTTCTGTTAATGCACCCTGCCTCTGTATTTGCATTTTGGACAAATAACACAAGGTTAGACCAAGACAGAGGTTAATGTGATCTGAAGCCTCACATCTTTTTCACCTCTGATGCCACATCTCTCCAACCCTGTGTTTAATCAGAACACAAGCAAAGTCATTAAACCACTGAGTAGTATCTAATCATTTGTAACAGCGTGTATAATCATTACAACAATCAGTCATGCAAGATGAATTACCTTGTGTGTTTCTGGAAACAACTGGCTTCCATGAGTTTCCCTGAAAAGACAGGACCACGTGAGAAGCAGAGTGGCTGTGCTTATGTGAAATGCCGGGGGAGGCCCAAGGCTACCTTATGACGTGCACAGGTGGTCCAAAGGTGGGAATTTTTAGGACCCGGATTCGGCAGAGAAAGCCATTCCTTTCCCCAGATCAGACGACTGCTTCTTACGCTCCAGCTAGTGTCTGTCGTTTACAACATTGTGGGCAATGGTGTTAAGTTGCTTTATTCTGGAGTCATTTGAATGTCATTTGAATTAAGGCATTCACTTGGCTTTAAAACACCTTCTTAGGAGACTACCCAGAATTTCCAAAACTGTAACATGCCTTTGTGTATGAAGGCTAAGGTCAGGCTTCCACTAACTTCTAAATTTCCTTCTGCAGTGCTCCTTAGGGGCAGATGTGGAGACACACCGGTTCCACTGCTGGTGCTCAAACAGCCTGAGGTGGTTACTACTAGTCATGGCTCCTCACTGACTCCCAGTTTCCATTAATGACTACAGAACAATTTTTTTTTCCCATTTTACAACAGGACCAGGTGCCACGTGCCTATACGTTGCATGAAAACTACAAACTGCTTTATGACTTCTTCTTGAATGAAACTGTTTTTGAGGGAAGGGCGGAATGCAAGTTCAAGGACCAGATATGAACCTCCATGTAACTTTCTGGAGGGGGATGGGGGTAGTTAGTTTACCTATTTATTTATTTTTCAAGGAGGTTCTGGGGATTGAACCCAGGACCTCGTGCATGCTACGCATATGCGCTCTACCACTTGAGCTAAACCCTTTCCCTGAACTTCCATGTACTTTTGCACATGATTTCAAGTGATTCAGCTGTCCACTGAGGTCTGTCTGTGGACCCTAGGTTAAGAAAACTTGTTTTAAGGAAATAAGTAAGAAGATTGGGATCATTCATGGCTGTCTTCCTGGGGCAATCCTAGCCAGAGGATGAGGCTGGGCCACCCCAGGAGAGTGATAAAAAACAGTGCTTTCGACTTAAGGCCATTAGGAAGATGAAATGAGCGAGGCAAATCAAGGGTGAGAACTGGCACAGAGTAAGTGTCCAATAAATAAAGTTGTTCTTATTTTTTAAAATTTTCTTTCCCCAAATCTAAACTCTATCAGGGGGACGAAGCATGAAGCCTTTAGCATCTTAGGCAGAATGAGTTCACCTGTTACCTCCTTGACAGGAGTGATGACAGAAATGGGATTCCAAGGAATGGAGAAAGGGGCAGGAAGCCAAATCAATCCACTCCCAGATCCCACTGGAGCTTCCAAAGCTCTGAAGGTTTCATCCCACCTGGTCCTGCCCTCCTTACCTCGGAGACGAAAGGCCAGAAGCAGTAGCAAGAACACCAGCCCCAGGGAGGGAGCGATGATCATGAGCAGCTCGTAGTTGTTGGCCATACTTATCTGATGAGACACGGGGAAAGTGTGTGGGCCACTCACTTCTGAACAGCCTCCTCATGTGAATTTCCTGTCACTGTCACACCTTCCAGGGGCTGGCAGCTTCACAGCATCCCACCACCTTCTGCCCCAAACATCTCAAGATCTAAACAAAGCCAGTCTTACAAATTAGACCTTTTTAAAAAAAAATCTTGGAAAATCTGAAACAATTTTATCCAGACCCCCGCAAATTTTCCTAAGTCTAAAACATCAGGCAGCTGGGCTGCGGGGTCTGAAGATTTTAAAAAAATCACTGGGCTGTGAGCTGTGCTCTCCACTGTCGAATCTCCTTGCTGGCCAGATCCTCTCGGCTCTGCCTAGCCCTGTGTAGCTCTTCTCCTGGCTGACTCAGACTTCTAGAGGCAATAAGATGAAAGACGAAGTGGAACTCAATTTCAAAATGTCTGCAGCAGTGGTTCTCAAAGTATAGCCAGGGGACCCATGAGATCAAAATGATTTTCCTGACACAGAATTTGCCATTTTTACTGTCATTCTTTTATGAGACGTACAGTGGAGTTTCCCAGAGGTTACAGTTACGTGACAGGTGATGTGAAGATGTCAGTGTTCTGATGATGTAATACGCAAGCCGATACGAGAATCATCTCTCTCCTATTGAGCCAGGCATTAAGGAGACTTGCAAAAAATGTAAAAAGAATCCCACTTTTCTCAGTAATATTTTTTCACTTAGAAAAATGTAGTTATTTTTCATAAAATGTTATTTATGGTAACGTGTCATGGGTTCCTTATATTTATTTTGAAATGAATGTATATTGTTTTTAATTTCTCAGCTTTTTATTTTTATGAGTGTAAAGAGATTCTGACATCAAATAGTTTGAGAATCACTGCTCTGCAGGCAGCATCTAGCTCCCTGGGGGCTACACCAGCTCCCATTGGCCAGGCTCCATCCCCTCCCTGTCCTTTGTTAACACATCAGCAAGGGCAGGACAGCAACCTCTCACGGAGGAGAGAGAAGAGGGGAGAAGAAAGAAGGAATGGGACCTTCAATTTTCCTTTCAGGTGTCTGTACCACCTGAAGGTTTTATATAAAGCAGCTTGAATCACTTTTGTAATAATAAAAAATGAATGACGGGGACACCCAGAAAACAGAGGAACCCTGGTGACAGGTGTTGCTTCTGCAGGATGTCACTAATCTTGGGCCACACAGAGGGGACATATAATGATTTCAATGTCTTTGCATATTTTTCTTTTTTCTTTTCGAAGCATCTGTATGTGTAGAAGTAAGGATATCAGCATTATTTCTGCCAAGAGTACAAGTCTATAAATGCCTTAACTCTTTCCTAACAGTGGCAATGCGTTTGGCCCTTAGATCTATCTGCTCTCCCTAGTTCGTTTCTGCAAACCTCTACTGTGGGTTTTAAAAATCTAAGTCATGTACTTCAACATACTTCACTGAAAATTTTACCTGTTCTGATTCAATTCCATGTTGCACAAAAAATATCGTCTCAGATGCTAGGAAGGAGAAAGAGAAGAAAGTGTTTATATTTCCTGTGAGAGAACAGAATGCCACATCCTGAAACTGACATTTCAGTGGATGTATTTAATCTTTCAATCCCATCTTTTCTTTTTTATATAATTTAATTATGCACATTTGTTTTGATATGGTTTTATCTAAAGCTCATCTGCTATCTAATACTATCCCATAGGACCATCCCCATTTTATAGATGGGTAGAGTGAGGCATTAGGCAGCAGGCAAATGATCTAAATTTTCTGTAAGCCCCAGCAATGCATTCAGGATGTTTATCCAGCAAGAAAACTTGTCAGTCTACCAGGTAGCAAATGTTCATCAAGCATTTATTATAGGCCATGGATTACGTTAGCTGTACCACCGACTCTGTCAGTGGAATTTACAACTTAGTACAGAAAACCAAATTGAAACAAATAATGTGAATACTTGAAGAAAACAACTGTGCAAAATTCTGGGAAGAAATGATATCATAGGGGCATGTCATAAGGGTGGCTGACATGTTCCACAGTGTCAAGGAAAGCATCCTGGAGGACGGGAAATTTAAGCTGAGACATGAAATCTTTATTCATAACTGATAGTTGAGTTCAACGAAGGAAACACCCTGAGACTCCACTGAGTGCTCAGTGCAGTCTAGGCACTAAGAATGCAGAAATGAATGACAGCATGGCTCCACCCTCATGAAATTTACAGCACATTAGAGAAGGGAGACCGGAAAGCTATTTCAGCCGAATAGGCCAACGGTAAGGATGGACAGACTGCCGGGGTGGGTGGGCAGAGGGCGAGGCACACAGCCCAGTGACAGCTATCAAAATTAAGCTCCGTAAGGACAGCGGTCCTCTCTGCCTGCTCAACAACGGGACTCCAACACTGCCTGGCACATACTTGGTGCTCAGTAAGTGTTTGTTGACCGAGTCGCATCTGAGCTAAGATTGTGTAAGAGTTAATAAAGCAAGATGCGGAAGGCATTTTAGGTAGAAGAGCAACAAAGCTATGGAAACAGGGAAGAGGATGGCTCGCATCCAACTGGCAAGGGTCACTGAGGGTGTAAATGAGAAGCGGGGAGCGGCAGAGGTGGGACTGAGACGGACTCATGGAAGGTCTTCTGTTTCATGTTGGTAAGTCTCCCTTTAATTCCGTAAGCAGTGGGTAACCACAGAGATGTTTTAAGCAGGCTACGGTCCCGTTAGAAGGATAAGAGAACAGCCAAGATGCGATTATCATCTGACTCCAGGTCTGAAGTTCAGAGCTAGAAGAATGAAGGGAAAGAGACGGATTCCAGAAATGCCTAGGAGAGAGATCAAGAGGGTATGTGGGGCGAGAAAGAGATGGGAGGCTTAGATAACTCAAAATTCCCTTCTTGAGACACCATGCCATTGCCTCAACGGTCCCTGAAGACTGGGAAGAGCAGAAGCAGCGAGGCAGGGGGAGAAAGCGCATGAGCTCAAATTCAGAGTCACTGAGCTTAAGGTACCTGAGGGTCAGATGGGCAAACAGTATTTGCATAACAAGTGGCTGATGGATCTGAAACAGAATCAAACTTACCAAAAGGTTGGAGATGGAGATACTGATTGAGGAGACCCAGTATCCAGGGAGCAGACAGCATCCTCAGAATGTGTAAGAAACCCAAGGGCTGCATGTCCAGAGAGAGAGAGAGAGCAGCAGGAACCCCGAGAAACCCCAGCACGTAACAGGCAGGCAGAGGAGAAGGAGGAAGAAATGGGCAGAGGGCAGAAGGTGAGCGCAGCACCCCGGAGCCAGGCCCGGAGACTGTCCAGGAAGGATGCAAAGTCATGCGTCTAGTGAAACCTCCCATAGAAGCAGAACAGAAAGCCACACGTAGACCAGCCGAAGGTAACACCTATCTAGGCTAGAAATAACTGAAAAGGGTCACTTTTGCCCCCATGCTTCCTCGCACTCGAGGCAAAAGGAGGAATGTGATAGGTTCCTGGAGGCTCATAGTTTGGTACAAGAGAGCTTATTTGTTCGACAGGGGAAGGGATTTGCTGACTGCCCGGGAGCACACCCTCAGAGGGGAGACTCGGCTTGTGTTCATATCCTACAACGCAGTTCTGATGTTTTTCTCCCTGCCATTATCTCCTGGAGCTGGAAACTGCAGGCAAGTATTCACAGTTTCAACCCTGTTCTGTCAAAATTCTGTTGTATTACAATCATTTGTGATGGATAAGTCTGAAACGGAAACCGTCAAAGAGGAAAGCCAGCCTGGGGCAGTTTTGTCGTAGTTCATCTGTATTGGAGATTAGAATCGTCCAAGGGGAGAGACATCTTGTGAACACAAACACTGCTGAGTGATACCAAACAGGACTTTTTCTCCTCCTCCTCAAAATGCCAAAAGCCCAATGGAAGTGCTCACAAGGCTGCAGTGTTGTACACCAAACAGCAACAAGAAGCACACACTGATGGTGATTTTTCTTCCCAGTGAAAAACAGCGATGCTAACGGCTAGAGGGTGGGAGTTAGACAAGTTACGACTCTTGGTCGTCGTGTCGTCTGGGTTCTCCTGGGCCTCACATTTCCAAAGCCCTGAACTCTGCCATGAGCAAGTTCAGGCAAAGGCAAGGGCTGCTGAGCACTTGCACGAAAAGCAATTCTGTGAGAGGTGAAGCATTTCAATGATGATCTCCCCAGCCCCAAATCGTGTTCAATCAGAACCTCAGATTGTGACCTTATCTAGAAATAGGGTCTCTGCCAATGTAATTCGTTAAGGATCTTGAGATGAAATCATACAAGATTTTGGAGGGGCCCTAAATCCAATAGCTGGTATCTTCATAGGAAGAGAAGAGGACACAGAGACACACAGAGAGAAGTTTACAAGAAGACGGAGGCAGAGACTGGAGTGATGCTGCCATAAATTAAGGAATCCCTGCAGCACCAGAAGCTGGAAGAGGCAAGGAAGTATTTCCCTCTAGAGCCTTCAGAGAGAACATGCCTCTGCCGACACCTGGATCTCAGACTTCCAGCCTGAGAGCTGTGAAAGAATAAATTTCTGCCCCACTCCCTTTTTTTCTTTTTAAAATTTCTGTCCTTTGAAGCCACCTGGTTTGTGATACTTGTTACCGCAGCCCTGGGTAACCGATACAGGAATGAAAAGAAGTCGACATACGAAGAAAGTGAGTGGCCTTCAATGGGCGTGACCAGCCTAAGAGTCAGGAAATGGGCTCTGAGCTTATGTTTACTCTAAGAACAAATGGAATTGAAAGGCCTGGCGTTAAGCGCAAAAGAGCATCACTCCAGTATCATCTTATTACTAACATCCCATTGAACACTCAGTCCTCAGGAACAACTCTGCGGGTCAGACGCTACCCCATCCTGCCAGTGAAAAAACTGAGGTTCAGAGGGCTGAGGAATGACCTAGGGCAGACAGGTCATGGGTGGTGAAGCTGGGATGTGAACCTGTCTGACTGCTGTCGACACCTATGCTCTTAACAACTTTATTAGACTGGAGTTCAAGCATAATTGTACCAGGTAAATAGCACGTCCCACTGAGGCAAGAACGAATGTTCACTATAACGATTTGCACTGAATCTAGAAAACAAATAGTCCGGAGCAGAGGGTTCAGTGCTTACGCTGACTGTGCAAGTCAATCCATTAGGGATGGGGAAAATGAGAGCTTCCGTTTACATGTAATTAAATTGCATCCTTGAAATATTTATTTGGGAAATATAATGGACATACTAATACGGGGGTGTGTTTGAACAAATGATCAAGAAATGTTTTACTACTAATAATACATTGCTAATCTGGTCAAGAGAGGAAGAATGAGTCATGCGGAAACCATGGGAGGCAGAGTAATGACAGCCAAAAGTGTCCATGTCCCAACCTTCGGAATTTGTGATATGTTGCCTTACGTGGTGAGACTTCGCAGTGTGATTCAGGGAAGGATTTCGAATCGGGGGGATTATCCTGGGCTATCCAGAAGGGATCAAAGTCAGGATATGTGATGTGCAAGAAGAGGTCAGAGGAAAATGGAGATCTGAGGCTGCTACGTTGCGGCTGAAAGGTGGTGGAAGGGGTAAAAGGCCAAGGAAAGCAAGTGGCCCATAGAAGCTGGAAAAGGCAAGGAAATAGACTCTCCCCTAGAGAATTCAGAAGGCACGCAGCCCTGCCAACACCTTGACGTTAGGACTTCGGACCTCCAGAATAAGATCAATCTGTGTTGTTTCAAGCCACTACCATGCTGGTAAGTTGTCACAGCAGCAACAGAAAACTAACACAGAGACACCGGTCTCTAAGATCTTCCAAGACAATGGTGGCTCTGGGGACGGGCACCAGGGACAAAAGGAAGGTTGACTTTTTAGTGAAAAATGTTTTGTATGCTTTGTACTTTTGCCACGTGTGAGTATTATCCATCTTAAAATGAATTAAAGTATAACAACAACAATAAAAGAATCTTAACGTTAACCATGCTTTTCCCAGGTCCATGTACTGACCAACGCTTCTGATGAATACCAGATTTTCTTTACATTAAAAAAATACCAAAATGCGGACCCCTTGGTAGCTAGAGTTCTCACTGCAAATGAGTACATTGGCTTGCTGGTTTAATTTTAGGCTCTTGAGTTCTGGGTATGCATGGGTTCTCTGACAAAAGGGAATTCCTATAAAACTTAACCCCAGACCTCAGAGCACTGTCAGGCTGCCACACGGCCTCCCTCACATTTTACCACCACTAAGTATCTCACCCAGACTTCCTGTGACCTTGCGCAAGATGTTTCCTCTCTCTGAGCCACAGTTTATTCATCTGAAAATGCCAGTACTTCGCCAACTGAGCTCCTATGTCCTTTTCTGATCTTTTGATTGCTGGATAACTTGTTAGAAAGAATTTGAATCATCTGAGAAAATTATCATTCCATAGTAATTTTTTAAGGTATAAAGCTATCCCCTTAAAAAGGGAAAGAGTCCATAAATACTTACATGTATACACACACACACACACACACACACACACACACACACACACATTTCTTGT